AGTGCCAGGGCCTGGGGCCCTCCTGCGTGACCTCAGGCAGCTCCCTCCCCTCCGTGCCACCTGGGTCAGTGAGGGCACAGCCTTGCTCCCCTTTCCCCCAGCGCTGGATGAAGCCCAGGTGGCCTTGGAGGTCAGGCAGGGGGCTCCCCAGGCCCGGCTCTCGGGGCCGCTGGCCGTCCTCCCAGAGGCAGTGTGGTGCAGTGGTCCCACACATGGGCTCCCCTGGGTGATGCTGGGCTAGTGACAGGACCACTCCAGCCTGTTTCCTTCTCTGTAGAATTGGGGTAATATTGGTACCTACTGGTAACCTAAAGGGGTCCGGGCTCCGACAGGGGACAGTTCAGGGGTGCTCTTGTGCAGCTGTGGGTAGAGCAGGGAGCACACAGAACAGGGCACCCCTGTCCTGCTGATGCTCCCCCGCCCTGAGCCCACCCCAGGCCCACCCCAAGCCCCTCATCTTACTCTCTGAGGCCCCCCAGCAGAGTGGAGCAGTGACTGTGTCCCTGAGAGCCCCGCCCTTCCTTCCTGATGGCCCTGCGGGGGTGGGGGGTGGGGCCGCACCCGCCCTGGGGACCTCCCGCCTGCCCGCTCCAGTGCCCCTGCCCAGCCTCCTCCAGCCTGCCCATCCCTCCCCTGCCTGCTGTGGGGGGTGAGGAGAGAGGGACCCCCTTCTAGCCACAGTAGCCGCCCTGCCTCTGGAGGCCCACGAGCCTCAGGACTTGAGGGGCTTCTGGAGCCTGCCCCATCCAGAGTCTCATCAAGCACATGGGGAAACTGAGGCCACAGGGGGAAGGCCTTGTGGAAGGCCCACAGCAGGCCAGGGGTGCAGGACGCCCAGGGAGGTGAATCCCACATTTATTCTCTGCCCTTGCAGGAGGTGGGAGCCTGGGGGAGGCACGGGTCCGTTTCAGAGGGATTTGGTGCTCGTCCCAGCCCCGGGCAGCATGTGGGGGGAGGCGGGGAGGCCACAGTCAGAAAAGGGCCCCTTGGATGTGGAGAGAGCTCCTGCCACGCCCAGCCAGGACTTTCCTCCCCAGGTGACACCGGGCCCTGCAGGCTCCCATGCTGGCTTCTCCGGCCCCCAGACCCCAGGGCTCGCTGGGGCTGGTTCTGTGTGCCCGTCCTCAGGGCCCCACAGGGTGGCTCCACCCCCAGGGCTCCCACCTCCCCTCTTCAGCGCAGGGACTTCCTCCTGCCCCTAAACAGTTGCCCTGGGAACCTGGTTTATAACAAACGGGGCTGAGGAAGGGCAGCTGATGCCTCAGGTCCCACCCTCCCGAGGTGCCGCCCTCCCTCCTCAGCTCAGCTGGAAAGAGATAAAGACCCCTGCCAGGGCCTGCGCAGGGGCCGTGCCCCCTCCTCCCTCGCAGGGCCCAGCTCTCAGGGCACTCGGGGCGGGGATGCCAGGCGTGGAAAGAGGCTGGGGGTTCCAGGCCTCTGAACCTGCATGTGCCTCCGAGCCTGGGGGCCGCAGTCTTCACCTGTCCAGAGCCCAGAGGGCACGCCTGCCACAGTGCCCACGGCCGCGGCTCCTCCCTGCAGGCTATGGAGCCTGGCCGGGCTCTGGTCCCTCCCAGCGGTGACACTCCCTCCAACAATAACGGTGACGGTGACGCTAGCTGGTGTTGATTACATCTCCTGGGCAGTGCCCTGCAGCCGCTGCCACCTCCGACTGGCTTCCTGCCCCACCCAGGCTGCCAGCCACACGCGGGCAGCGAGCCGGGGGAGCCAGGCCGCCCGCCATGCGTCTCACCCCAGCGCTGTCTTGCAGGGAAGGACATGGAGCCCAACAGCCCGTCGCTGCCAAGGGATGAAGGGCCCCCGACCCCCGGCTCCGCCACGAAGTTGCCGCCGGTAAGAGCCTGGCCGTGGGAGGACCAGGGCAGGGAGCCTGCCTAGGGGACACCAGGAAGTGGCTTCAGGAAGGGCATGCGGGGCACAGGCCGAGCCTGTCGTTCCCAGCCCATCGCATGCGGTCCCCCCTGAATCCCAGACTGAATCGGGGAGGCTGCTGGAAGCAGGGCGGGGTCCCCATTGCAGCTTGTCTGTCGTTGAGTGGCAGCCACCCTCCCTGTGTAACTCGGGGTGGGCAGGTTGACCCAGAGCAGCGGCCTTGCTCCCCTGGGACCCCGTGTGCTGGCCTGTCCCTGTGTCCGTCTCAGGAGAAGCAGCAGCCAGGCCTTTGGTGGGCGCCCCCACCCGGCCTGGGCCTCCTGCCCTGGGTGTCAGGGCTGCCGGCTGCTGGAACAGTGGGAGCGTCTGCATCTGTGTGTGTGTGTGCGTGTGTGTGTGCATGGATGTGTGTAATGTGTGTGTGTGTGTGCATGTATGTGTGTATGTATCTGTGTGGGCGTGTCTGGGATTTTTTAAATAATTTTTTGACGAAGTTCAATTGCAGTAAAATAGAGATAGCAGAATTCCCCATCTTACCACTTTAGGTGCACAGCTCGGGCGTTAAGCGCATTTGTAGTAACAGGTGCCCCGGCCCCTCATCAATGCCCCGTCCCCCCACCTGCGTCTCTCTTACAGGCTGAGTACAGGCTGTGCAATGGGTCCGACAAGGAATGTGTGTCCCCAACGGCCAAGGTCACCAAGAAGGAGACTCTCAAGGTGGGCTCGGGCCTGGGGAGGAGCTGGTGTCGTTTGTCGCCACCTGAGCCAGTGAGGCCACCACCCCCAGCTTGCCAAAGGGAGGGGACAGACCACGCCCCAGCCACCACGCCCTCCCCTCCCTCTCCTCTCCCTGCCCTCTCCTTGTCCCCGGGCTGAGCGGTGTAGGTCCCCGGTGGCAGGCCCAGAGCTTTGCCCCTTGACCGCCCCTGGGTGCCCCGTGCAGGTGCAGAAGGAATACTACCGGCAGGAGAAGAAACGTGCCACCAAGCAGCTGCTCAGCGCCCTGACGGACCCGCGCGTGGTCATCATGGCCGACAGCCTGAAGGTAGGTGTCACAGCGCTGGGGCCCCTGCGTCCACGGTGGCTCACTCGGGAGGCCTCCCCAGGGGACCGTGCAAAGCCACCAGCCAGCCACTCAGGAGACCGTTTAGTGCATTTGTTACTGCAGATCAGTGTCAGTGTCCTGGGGCTGCCCCAACAAATGACCACAGGCTGGTGGCTTCAAACAAGAGGATTTCTTGTTTGAAGGCCGAGGTCGAGGCCCAGCTCTAAGGTGCGGGCAGGCCGTGCTCCTCCCAGGGCTCCAGGGAGGGTCCCCCTGCCTCTCCCAGTTCGGGGCTCCAGGTTTCCTGGGCTTGTGGCCGCACCCCTCCATCTTCTGCCTCATCTTCATGTGGCCTGTCCCCAGCCTCTCTGTGTCCNGGGGAGGCTGCTGGAAGCAGGGCGGGGTCCCCATTGCAGCTTGTCTGTCGTTGAGTGGCAGCCACCCTCCCTGTGTAACTCGGGGTGGGCAGGTTGACCCAGAGCAGCGGCCTTGCTCCCCTGGGACCCCGTGTGCTGGCCTGTCCCTGTGTCCGTCTCAGGAGAAGCAGCAGCCAGGCCTTTGGTGGGCGCCCCCACCCGGCCTGGGCCTCCTGCCCTGGGTGTCAGGGCTGCCGGCTGCTGGAACAGTGGGAGCGTCTGCATCTGTGTGTGTGTGTGCGTGTGTGTGTGCATGGATGTGTGTAATGTGTGTGTGTGTGTGCATGTATGTGTGTATGTATCTGTGTGGGCGTGTCTGGGATTTTTTAAATAATTTTTTGACGAAGTTCAATTGCAGTAAAATAGAGATAGCAGAATTCCCCATCTTACCACTTTAGGTGCACAGCTCGGGCGTTAAGCGCATTTGTAGTAACAGGTGCCCCGGCCCCTCATCAATGCCCCGTCCCCCCACCTGCGTCTCTCTTACAGGCTGAGTACAGGCTGTGCAATGGGTCCGACAAGGAATGTGTGTCCCCAACGGCCAAGGTCACCAAGAAGGAGACTCTCAAGGTGGGCTCGGGCCTGGGGAGGAGCTGGTGTCGTTTGTCGCCACCTGAGCCAGTGAGGCCACCACCCCCAGCTTGCCAAAGGGAGGGGACAGACCACGCCCCAGCCACCACGCCCTCCCCTCCCTCTCCTCTCCCTGCCCTCTCCTTGTCCCCGGGCTGAGCGGTGTAGGTCCCCGGTGGCAGGCCCAGAGCTTTGCCCCTTGACCGCCCCTGGGTGCCCCGTGCAGGTGCAGAAGGAATACTACCGGCAGGAGAAGAAACGTGCCACCAAGCAGCTGCTCAGCGCCCTGACGGACCCGCGCGTGGTCATCATGGCCGACAGCCTGAAGGTAGGTGTCACAGCGCTGGGGCCCCTGCGTCCACGGTGGCTCACTCGGGAGGCCTCCCCAGGGGACCGTGCAAAGCCACCAGCCAGCCACTCAGGAGACCGTTTAGTGCATTTGTTACTGCAGATCAGTGTCAGTGTCCTGGGGCTGCCCCAACAAATGACCACAGGCTGGTGGCTTCAAACAAGAGGATTTCTTGTTTGAAGGCCGAGGCCGAGGCCCAGCTCTAAGGTGCGGGCAGGCTGTGCTCCTCCCAGGGCTCCAGGGAGGGTCCCCCTGCCTCTCCCAGTTCGGGGCTCCAGGTTTCCTGGGCTTGTGGCCGTACCCCTCCATCTTCTGCCTCATCTTCATGTGGCCTGTCCCCAGCCTCTCTGTGTCCTGTTCTCCTATTAGGATGAGTCCCCGGGTCAGAGGCCACCTTACCCTGGGGTGGCGTCATCTTAACTTGCCCACATCTGCAAAACCCTGTGTCCAACTAAGACAAGGGTGGGGGCCCTGCTGGCGGGGGGTTCCAAGTGCCCATGGGTCCTTCCCTGGGGCACAGAGGAGTGGGGGTGAAGCTCGGGTTTTGTGGGAAAGCACCAGAGTTGGGGTCCAAGGCCTATGTTCAGACCTCACTGAGGCAATGGTGGTTCCTTCAGCCCCCGAGCCTCAGTGTCCCCCTCCATACAGTGGGGGGGCCAGGGAGGGTGCTGCCAGGAAGAGCAAACCAGACAAGTGTACCAGGGGCCTGGACATCCGCAGAGCCCTGGGCCTCCCTTTATGTGTTTCCACAAAACTATGGGTAAAAAATTAGGTACAGCCCTGGCTGGTGTGGCTCAGGGGTTAGAACGTCGGCCTGCACACCAGAGTGTCATGAGCAAGTCAAGGGCAAGTACCTGGGATGCAGGTCCGATCCCTGGCCCCAGCTGGGGCGCATGTGGGAGGCAAGCCATAGATGTGTCTCTCTCACATTGATGTTTCTCTCTCTCTCTCCCTCTCCCTTCCTCTCTCTGAAATTAAAAAGATATTTTTTAAAAAGTGAATACGTATTTAGAATAAGAAAAGAAATGACAAATATCAAAATTTACAAAGCTGACCATTACAACAGGCAAAGCTCATTGCTAGTTGCTCCTTGGACCCTGGGAGGGCCTTGACCCTAAGCTTGACCTTGACCCTGAGCTTCACAAAGCCCTCCAGCAAACCTGTTCCTGGCTACAGTGTATTTCCTTGGATTCACTATAATCTGTGAGCTCCTTCTAAAGATTAAAAGAGACCTCTGCCCGCAGCTCTGCCCACCAGCCCCCCCCAAACCGTCCAGATCCCCCTGGGGCATCGGCCCTCCCGGGCACTGACACCACCACCCCTCCCCGCAGATCCGAGGGACCCTGAAGAGCTGGACCAAGCTGTGGTGCGTGCTGAAGCCGGGGGTCCTGCTCATCTACAAGACGCCCAAGGTGGGCCAGTGGGTGGGCACGGTGCTCCTGCACTGCTGCGAGCTCATCGAGCGGCCCTCCAAGAAGGACGGCTTCTGCTTCAAGCTCTTCCACCCCCTGGACCAGTCTGTCTGGGCCGTGAAGGTGCAGCTGGGGAGCCGGGCTCGGGAGGGCTGGGCGCTGGGCCCCACGGGGGCCATGGGGGAACGGGCCCTGCTGGGTGGTCCGGGGGCTGCTCCTGGGGCCCCACTGGAGGGGGTCTAGGAGTGGGCTGTCTGTTCCAAAAGGGCTTGTCATTGTCCACGTGGGGGGGGGGGCTGGGTTAAGTCTCTCAATGGCTGAGTGATTAGCTGTGGTCCCAGGCCCTCCTGGTAGAACACAGGGTGGGGTTCAAGGCCTAGTGACATCATGGGTCAAGATCACATCCGTCTGGGGGTGGAGGGATGGGGCCATGTGAGTGGCTGCTCGGAGCCCAGACCTTCCCCCTCCCCTGGCCTTCCTGGGTCAGGCTGCCAGAGCTAATCCAGAATGTCTGGTTGAAGCTGGGTTTCAGAGACACTTCAGAGATTTTTTAGTATAAATATGTCTCAGATATTGCATGGAGTATACTTACGCTTTAAAAAAAGGTCTTTATTATTTCCCTGAGATTCTGACTTACCTGGGCATCCTGCACTTGCATTTTCTGACTCTGGCCACCCTGATTTGGGGAGCTCAGAACTCTCGAGGCTAAGACAGGCCACCAGCTGAGAAGGGGGGACAGAGAGCACCCCATTTTCCTCTCTCGCTGCCGGTCACGTGTGTGCGTCTAAGTGCCTGACCCTGCCTGGAGATGCTGGGGCCCTGGAAGTGACCAGGTGTCTCAGTGACTCTGAATGACTGTGTCATCCGTGTTTCCACCTGACCTGCGTGTCCCTTGGGTGACATCGAGTCTCTGCCTCCCCAGGGCCCCAAAGGCGAGAGTGTGGGCTCCATCACGCAGCCCCTCCCCAGCAGCTACCTGATCTTCAGGGCCGCTTCGGAGTCAGACGGTGAGTCCCCACCTGCTCTGCAGGTCTCCCGGGGATCCCACCTGAAGTGGCCCCCTCTCCCCCGGTCCAGGTTCTAGACCAGGTACATGTGGGACCGGCTCAGGCCCTGTCACCACCACTCAAGAAGGAGGCAGTTTGCTCTCACCGGAAAAGCCAGGGGCCAGGCAGGCCTGCCCCTCGCTAGTACCTCTTTGGGCCTCAGCTTCCCCTGGACAGAATGGGAATGATGGCACCTGTCTCCCCAGTTGTTAGAGAACCCGCCAGTCTCGTATAAAGCGACCAGGCACCTTTGAAACAATAGAATCTACTGTCGTCACCCCCATTTGACATGAGTCACTAGGAAAATCCCAGCAAGAAAGTGCTGGAGCCTAGAGAGCAGTCCCACCCGCCTCCTCCCAAACGCATCGCACGTGGTTGGAGCGCCCTCCAGTGGCTGCTCCGAGTAAAGCGGCTGCCGCCCCCCACACGGAGCCCTAGGGGCAGGCGCTTCCCTCGGGGATCAGGGTGAAGGGCTCCCCTCTCGCCAACGGTCCGGAACCAGGCTCCCCGTGGGAATCCCACCCTCGTTTCCCAGCCCCTGCCCCGTGCCCGCCCCACGCCCGTGTTCCCGGGGTGGGCTGGGAAACCCTTGTGCACGTGGAGCCTGACGTCTTGGGGGGGATGAGTAGTGAGCCGTCAGATTAGGAGCATCCTGATGGGCCGAGGGAGGGGCAGGTCAGCGTCCCTGGTGGGCATGGGCCAGTGTAAGGGGTGGCTGGTTCCCCTGCTTGCAGGTCGGGGGATCCCCGAGGGCAAGGGCAAGGGCAGGGGCAAGGGGGAGCTTCCTGGTGGGGACTCTATGGTGAGGACAGGCGGGGGGCAAAGGGTGCAGGAGGGGAGGGCTCCCGGGAGTGCAGTGGGGTGCGGTGCTCCCCAGGGTGGGGCTTTCGGGCTGATGGGACCGGGGCCTGGGCCTGGGCCTGGGCCTCACACCTCTCCCCGCCCAGGGCGCTGCTGGCTGGACGCCCTGGAGCTGGCGCTGCGCTGCTCCAGCCTCCTGCGGCTCAGCGGGAGCAAGCAGGGCTGCGACCGGGAGCCCGGGTCCTCGCCCGACGGGTCCCCCTCCTCGCTCTGTGGGCTGCCCCCCTCGGCCGCCATCCACGACCAGGACCTGTTCCCGTGAGTGGGGGTGCGGGGCGCAGGTTTGGCCCCTCCCGGGAGCCCTGGGCCCCCCGCCTGCTGGGGGACCCTGGCTCTCACTGGCACTAACACGGGTGTCCTTGCATGGGGCGGGGAGGTGGGCCCCCAGGCGCCCGGACCTCCTCCACTCCACAGTGCACCCCAGGGCCTCAGTTTCTTCAACTGTAAACTAGCTAATGGTGTCAAACACCTGGTTGCCCAGGCGATTAAGCCCAATGAGGGGTGCCCAGGAGGAGGGTACCTGGGGTGGGATGCCCAGAGGTGGGGGTGCCGGGCCTCACCTGTGGCCTGGGACCCACAGGTACCTCCCTTCCAGGCTGAACGGGTCCTCCCTGGACGATGCTCTCTCAGACAAGTCAGAGAGGGAGGTGGGCGAGGAGTCGGACGAGGCCCAGGACCACAGCCAGAGGACCAATGGGAGCGGGAGTGACCTGTCCGAGGCTCCCAGGGCCCCAGCCCCTCGAGGAACCACGTACGTGGAGCAGGTCCACGAGGAGCTGGGGGAGGTGAGAGCCACCCAGCCTGAGACCTGGCATCACCCTGTACCTTGTCCCCACCCCTGAAGCCGCCATAGCAATGCCTGGTGTCCCTTCAAGGAGAGCTCGCGGGGTCTGCAGGGGCCGGGGGGACAGGGGAGCCAGCCGGGGGCCTGCCGGGGTCAGGTGAGGCTTTTGGAAGGTCTAGGGCAAGGGTGGAGAACCTTTTTTCTGCCGAAGGCCATTTGGATATTTATAACATTATTCGTGGCCCACACAAAATTATCAACTGAAAAATTAGCTATGGAAAAAGTTCCTAGATTTATTGAATTTTAAGTCCCGCCTGCAGTTGCCTTGGCAGGGCCGGACCCAATGATTTCGGGCTGGACGTTCCCCACCCCGGTCTAGGGGCAGAGGTAGAAGCCGGGAGCGCTAGGGAGGGGCTGTGTCAGGGGAAAGCCCAGGCACCGGGGACCGGCAGCGATGAGGGGGGAGAAGTGGGGCTCGGGACGCATCTGGAGGTGGCACAGGTCCCAGGCAGACCGTGGGACGGGTGCTCTGGGAGAGACCTGGGGGCTGAGGGTGGGGACAGGACTCCCTCCCGAGTTTGGACTTCAGGGGGGCAGGATGCTGCTGCATGTGAGGGTCTGGGCCTCGGCTGACGGTCCAGACATTAGGGTGTGGAGCCTGCAGCTCCAGGTGTCGGGGGCCTGGGCACCCCAGTCTTCAAAGGCTGAGCACAGACGAGGCTCCACAGAGGAGCCCGGGGAAGTGGGAGGGGAGCCCGGAGTGCGGGGGTCACAGGGGCAGCTGTGCTGAGAGGGGGAGCAGGAGAGAGAGGGTGGCTGCTGGATTGTAACCGGGTGGTGGGGACCTTCACCAGGGAGCTCTCAGTGGCGCAGACAGGGCAGGACTAACGGGAATGGGTGGAGTGTGTGGGTGTAGGGTTCCAGCTGTGGCTGCTGCCAGTTTGAGCCCCAAGGGTGGCCTGGAAATTGAGGCCAGGAAGCCAGAGCCTCGTGGGGGACAGGCATGGCCCCTCATCTAGAGCCTCCCGGTCCCCGCCTAGATGCCCAGGCATGCGGTTCAGGGCAGTGCCCCTAGGCCTCGGCCAGGGCTGTGCACACACAGAGAGACAACAACTTGTCAAGGCAGCCAGCAGGGCGGTGACAGACCCACTGTAGAGCTGCCTGCTGGCACCCTGTTCCGCTGCCACCCGGGGCGGGGCTGCCAAGAATGCAGATGTCCCTGAGTCAGATCCCCTTGGGCAAGTCACTTGTCCCCCCTGTAAGGTGGGGTGCCCAGGATCAAGGTGCCTTGGGGCTGGGAGAAGGAGATCTAGGGGGAAGGAAGGGAAACGCCTGCAGCCTGGGGCCTCCTGCCAGGGGCTGAGGGGAGCCCAGCAAAGTGCAGACACACCCCAGCCAGATGTTTGAAGCCCAGGAGGCCCCCAGCAGTGATGGCAGGAAGCCAGTGAGGGCCCAGGCAGTGCCCTGGGCTGGGTGTTGGCCAGGGCAGGACGGTTTGCTGGGTGGTGGGGTGGGAGGTGGGGCCTCCCTGACCCTCACCCAGACTCCGAGGCAGCATCTCATCAAAGACAGGAGGGTCCAGGGCGGCCCCACCTCTAGCCATGTGACCCTGAATACGTGAGGGCCCCTTTCTAAAGGAAGTGCAGGCCAGAAGCACAGTGTCACCCCATCACCTGAGTCACAGGCAGTCCTGAGGATTAAGTGGGTGGGACGGGGAGAGTGTCTCCCTATGCAGGTGGACTTCCTGCCGTAGGCACAGAGCTATGCAAAGTCCCCAGATGGGTTTCAGCAGCCAGGATGCGGAGGGTCCACCCTGGACTGAGAACATGGGGCGGGCCCATGGGCAAGGAAGGGAGGCAGTGGGTGCGGGTTTGGGGGGGCTCTGGGCCAACTGGAAAGGATAGGGGTCAGACGGGGCCAGGCCAGGGGTACGGTCACCCCACCTCCCGTCACACCTCCTCGGGCCAGAGCTGCCCGCCCCACCCGGCTCCCCTGGCACTCATCCCGGACACCTTGCCCTGGCCCCTCTGCTGGCAGCTGGGCGAGGCGTCCCAGGTGGAGACGGTGTCTGAGGAGAACAAGGGCCTGATCTGGACGCTGCTGAAGCAGCTGCGGCCCGGCATGGACCTGTCCCGCGTGGTTCTGCCCACGTTCGTGCTGGAGCCCCGCTCCTTCCTCAACAAGCTCTCCGACTACTACTATCACGCCGACCTGCTGTCCCGGTGAGCGAGGCCGGGTGCCCACGCCGTGCGCCGGGAGCCCCGCCCCCAGCTCCGCCGGCCGCACCCCGGTTCCCGGAGGGTCCCCGGGGTCCCGGCTCAGCTCCCCGGGACGCTCAGTGTCCAAGAGCAGCCCCTGGAGGAGCTGGTGGCCAGGCAGGGTGGGGGCCTGAGCCAGCAGGGTGAGCGTGGGTGGGGTCGGCCCGAGCACTTCCTGTGCACCCCAAGTCCCCAGCCCCGGTGCTGGCCACCCGAGCAGAACACTGGGGCTGCAGGGGAGCAGAGGGCCCTGTGGCTAGGAGCCCACAGGGAGGCAGTGAGCGAGGGCGGAGCCTCCAGGCGCCCTGGTCAGGAGTGAGGGGTCTCCGTCTGTCTGTCCAGGGCCGCGCTGGAGGAGGACCCCTACAGCCGCATCAAACTCGTGCTGCGTTGGTACCTTTCTGGCTTCTACAAGAAGCCCAAGGTGAGGAGGGGTGGGCAGGGCGGGGCTGCGGCCCAGCCACAGGTCCTCACCGCCCTCCCCTGGTGTCTGTCCCTCGTTCCTTCTAGAGACCTCCGCCCCCAGGACTCAGGGCCCCAGCAGCCCACAGCCCCCGTCGGGTCCCTGGGCCCACTCCCACCCAGCGGGGCCAGGCTCCTCCGGTTCCTCACTTGGGCTCTTTGTTGGTCGCCTGCAGGGGATCAAGAAGCCCTACAACCCCATCCTGGGGGAGACCTTCCGCTGCAGCTGGTTCCACCCCCAGACCAACAGCCTCACCTTCTACATCGCGGAGCAGGCAAGGGCCCGAGGGGGGAGGCAGGTGCTGGGCTCCAGCGGGGCTGGCAATGGGAGGGGCTCTGACCCCAGTGCACGGTTCCTGGTGGCCCCGTCCCCACCTACTGGGGGTACTCGGGGCCTCATTTCTGCCAGTCACCGTGCCCATGACAGCAGGACATTTCCTTGGGGAGGGGGACAGTGCATTCCATTTCCCTGGGGCACTCTGGGCTGACACAGGGACTATGTCTGCTCTGGGCCCCAGGACTCAGGCCTGGCTTCCCTGGGCATCAGAGTGAGGGCCCCAAGCAGGAGGGACGTGGAGTGTGGGGTGGAAAGGGCAGGGAAGCCGGGCTGTCGCCTTCCTGGGCTGCCCGCTGCTGGGGCCATTCAAGCAGCCACCACTGTGCCCACAGGTGTCGCACCACCCGCCCGTGTCCGCCTTCCACGTCAGCAACCGGAAGGACGGCTTCTGTATCAGTGGCAGCATCACGGCAAAGTCCCGGTTCTATGGTGAGGGGCTCCCCTGGGCTCGGCCGGGGCCTGGGGAAATGGGGGGAGGACCGGGCTCCCATTTCATGGTCACCAAGACCATGTGTGGTGGTGGCCACTTGTGTGTCCCCCCCGCCTCTCCTACCCAGGGACCACGTAGGTAGGAGAGTGCTCAGAACCTGACGTGAGGCAGAGCCCGGCGCCCTGTCCCTCACCCATCTGCAGGGGTACTTTGAGGGGCCTCCCATCCCTCAGCCATCTGCAGGGGTGTCCTGAGGCGGCCTCCCGTCCCTCAGCCATCTGCAGGGGTGCCGCGAGGGCCACGAGAAAGAACCCACATAAAGTGCCGTCTGGAGCTGAGCTGTCCAGTTGGTACCACCAGCCACACGTGCTGTTTAAATTGGTTAAAATGAAACGGAAGTTACAGCGCAGCTCCGTAGCTGCAAGAGCCACGTCACAGGGGTTAGACTGTGTGGCTGGTGATTCCCCGATCAGACAGCACAGAACAGAATATTTCTGTTACCACAGAAAGTCCCTCGGGCAGTGTCAGTCGAGATCGTGGCCCTGTAGATGCTCGGAAAGGGTCTAATTCCATTTTGGTTTTTTGTGTGTTTTTGTTTTTTGGTTAATTCTCACCCAAGGATATTTTTTCCACTGATTTCAGAGAGAGTGGAAGGGAGGGAGGGAGGGGGAGACAGAGAGAGAGAGAAACATCAGTTGGTTGCCTCCTGCACCTGCCCCACCAGGGCTTGGGATCAAACCTGCGTCCCTTCAGTGCTCAGGCCGATGCTCTAACCATGGAGCCACACCAGCCAGGGCTGATTCCATTTTTTAATCAGTTATCCCTTTTCCACCACCTCTTTGGTGGGCAGGTGTGCTCAGCACCTCTGTGTGCCCAACAGTCTGCAGGGGACACACAAGGCCAGCCACCTCCCCACCCCTGCACTCCTGTCACTGACTGGCTGTCACCCTCAGCCCAGAGTCCCCCCACTACTAGGAGGGGGCGCAGAAATTTGAGCTGGGGCTCAGGCTAGTCAGAAAGTTTCCCAGTCTCCGCCCTGAGAACTTCTGCTTTAGTGACAGAAATGTGTCAACACATGACAAGTGAAGGAACTGCTCAGGACCCTTGACCTGGGTGATCTGGGTGGAACTTCTGCAGAATCTGAGGCTTAGTGAGTTTAAGTGACCCACCTGCAGTCACCGAGCTGGGCACTCCTCCCACCTGTTGGAAGTGAGCTCAGACCCTGTGATTTAGGGGGTGGGCCCCTGGGTTCTGAGAGTCCCTCCCCACTTCCGCTCACTGGCCCCACTGCCCCATCTCTGCAGGAAACTCACTGTCGGCTCTGCTGGACGGCAAGGCCACGCTCACCTTCCTGAACCGGGCAGAGGATTATACCCTCACCATGCCCTACGCCCACTGCAAAGGTGAGAGGCCTCAAGGTCACCACCCCAGACAAAGCCCAGGCTGCCCCTTCAGGGAGGGCACCTGCACACTGAACACTCTGGCTCTGGTTTTCGTGGCGATATCATATCTCATCCTTACTTCTCAATGACGTTTGGCCTGGGCATAGAATTCCTGGTGGAGTGTTACTCGTCTCTTGGGAACATTGTATCATCTTGGGCTTCCACGGTGGTTGATATTGGTGGGCCGTCAGCCCGTTTGTTGTGCTTTTCTCTGCAGCTGCTAAGATCTTCTGTTGTCTTTGGTGTTCTGCCATCTCACCTACTATTCCAGGGTTAGGACTTCTTGTTGTATTTTTTAGTTGATGGACTTCATTCTTTGTAGCAGTTTTAGGTTTACAAAAAAATTAAGCAGGCAGTATAGAGAGTTCCCCTGGGCCCTCCCCCCATCACATGAGCTACCCAGCCAGGGCCAGTCGGAACAAAGTCAAGGCTCTTTCCACAGTTCCATCAGATACACAGTGGCCAGTGGTCAGTTCCCTGACTGTCACACGTGCATGTGTGTTTGTGTGTATATTCTTGGTCTCATATATGGGGTTGAGTGGCAGCCTGTTCATGGGTTATATTAATAGTATATTTGCTCCCCACGTTATAGTTTTCAGTGGGAGTTATTACATCAAAGAATCCATCTTGCCCTGGCCAGTGTGTCTCAGAGGTTAGAGCGTCGGCCTGCAGACTGAAGAGTCTCACAGGTTCGATTCCAGCCAACGGCACGTACCTGGGTTGCAGGCTCCAGCCCTGGTCAGGCACATATGGGAGGCAACCCATCCATGTGTTTCTCTCACATCAGTGTTTCTCTCTCTCTGTCTCTCCCCCTCCCTTCCACTCTCTCTGAAAAAAACTAATCGTTGAAAAATCAGCAATTGAGCATCGACCTAAGATCCAGGAGGTCACGGTTTGATTCCGGGTCAGAGCACATGCCGGGGTTGTGGGTTCGATCCCCAGCAGGGGGCGTGCAGTAGGCAGCCGATCCATGACTCTCTCATCATTGATGTTTTTCTCTCTCTCTCCCTCTCCCTTCCTCTCGTTGATGTATTCATAGGTCAATGCTCAACTGCTGAGCCACGCTGGCCAGGCAGGGCTCCCTTTATGAGGCCTAATGGGGAGCACTTGGGAATGAGCAGGAGTGCAGTCCCTGTTTTCCTTAGGCCAGTGTTTGTTGTGTAAACTATTTTGTATAAAGTATTCCCATGTGTTTTTTAATTGTTTAAGATTTTGTGACCTGTCTGTGTAGGTTCTGTTTAAAACGTGGAAGTTTTGTTGAATGGCTCTTTTTTATTTTTTTTAAACCATGATCTCCTGGATCATAGGTCGATGCTCAACCCCTGAGCTACACTGGCTGGGCTGAATGGCTGTTTTGATTGGTTCTGAATCTGCCCATGTTATGTTGTCTATATGGGTGTTCTCTGTCATTGGTAGGTATGCATACTTAGTTCTAATTTCTCATATGACAAGAGTTTTATGCCATTGAGTGTACAATGAATGAGATCCAATGCTTGTACACATCCTCGGATATTTATTTCCTTATTTGAAGAGTCTGTATGGTCATAGTATGTGCTGTTTGTGTTTTCATGGCATAGTGTCCACCTGCCTCTCCGTTCCTGTGGATAAATTGGTGTCTTGAGTCTGTGTCTTTGAGTGTTAATGAGATTGGGTGGAAAGTGAAATAGACGATTGATCTAATTGTCCCCAATCCGTGACCTCTGCACAGAAGCTATTTACCTATAGTGAAGACTCTTGTTACACACACACACACACACACACACACACACACACACACAAATGTTGTAGGTTAGATTTCTGTGGATCAAAAAGTTGAGTTCTAGTTTGTACGGTTTCTCCTTGTACTCCTGACCGTAACAGATGAGTTAACAATCCTGCAGCCAGTAATCCAGTTCCTAGTCCCAATACTTTTTCTTGTTCATATTTGGTACTTAGAGGCGTGGGTAGTGCTACAGCAGGACTGTACTTGTCTGTGTCAGTGTGTCAGTCGTGGCTCAGACTGGCAGTAAGTGACTGGCTGTGAACTGTAGTTTAGTGAGTGTTATGTGATACTTTGTAACTTTAGGTTTATACGGTATTCTTACTGGATGTGGCCTGTCAGGTTGTAAGTTGATTTGTTGTACAAATACTGGTTTTGGTCTCCACAGACCCCTGGTCCAGGCTGGTTCCCACTGTTCTGTTTTTAGCAGTGGGCGCTGTTAACGTGCCGTGTTTGAATGATACGTGGTCCAGGGCCGTTGTCCTCGATGTGACAGCTCGGGAATGTCCCGGGTTTAATAAGCATCGGTAATTCGGTATAAACACGGCCGTTTTCTGTGAGTGATTTGTGTGCGGCCCATGTGCCTTTTGGAAACTGTTCGGTAAGGGTTGGGTCACGTCAGGTGTGGAAGGTTGGAACCCTGCGTCACCCTGTCCTGAGTCAGATATTCCGGCGCTCAGTGTTAGCCACCGGGTGGCTGGTGCGTTTTGTGTGACTTTTGCCGTCTAGTTCAACCGAAAGAAAACATCATCTGAATTTATTTTTTCACAAAAGGCAAGGTTCAAACCCTACGTGTATAGGACATATTGTTGTGATTATATGTATAGATATAGGGACGTCCCTTGATGTCATGTCTTTGTTCCATTCTGATGTTTTTGGAGACCTCGGTCCCTTTATCAGAAACATCTGAAATGTCCTGTAATACTGAATTTGGAACCCAAGGTCCATTTCTTAGGGGTTGTTAAGGTTACAAAAAACACTCCTCTTACCCTGTTTCTCTAAGCCTGATTGGGGTTTCCTGATACAAAACTCGCTATTGATAATGACAGTGTCGCCGCTACGGCATAAACTCCTGACGCAGGAAATCATCTCGTCCCTCTTCCAGGCAAGAGGTGTTCAGTCCGGTGCAGCTGAAATTCCCCTTTCCCACCTGTTGTCCAGGAGGAATTATTGGCCATTATTTCCTGCGGGGAGAGGGATCCCTTAGGATCTTCTGTGGTCACCTTACACGGCACAGGGTGCGATGTCTTGTCTTTATTTCTATTTCTTTGGGTAAGATCTTGTTCTAAATATCCATGTGGTGTTTCTCTCTCTAGTCTTTCTCTTTGATTTAAGTGGAATGTGGCCCAATCTATGTCTCTCGCCAGCTTTTGGCTGAGTTGGTTAATTTTAATTCCTTTTTCAGCATTCTATTGAATCTTTCAATGCTGCCTGCTGCGGTTGGGGTTGTAGGGTCAATGAAAATTCCATTGCAGTCTAATCAATCCGTCAGGTTTTTAAAAATATATATCTTTATTGATTTCAGAGAGAAGGAGAGAGAGAGAGACAAACATCAACGATGAGAGTCATTGATCGGCTGCCTCCTGCACGCCCCCCACTGGGGATCGAGCCCGCAACCCGGGCCTGTGCCCTGACCGGGAATCGAACCGCGATCGCCTGGATCCCAGGTCGATGCTCAAGCTCTGAGCCACGCCGGCTGGGCTTCTGTCAAGTTTTTTATTCTAGCTGCTGGGAAATGGGAGCCTCGATCACTGTTATTCTCAGTGTCCCATCATGGCTGTGCCATCTCGCTAACGTGCTCGTGGCTGTTTGGGCACCCGGATTCTTGCTTCCCAGAGCCATACCCATTTCCACACGTCTATCTACCATCACGCATGCATATTTCTGCTGAAATCCTGATTCCACAGGTTCTGTGAAGTCAGTCTGCACCACAAAAGTGAATGCATCCGGCCCTATAAGTGTCCGGTGGCGTCTCACGTCAGAATCGTTTGCTGGCAACTTTGCACTCCTCGCATCTGAGCGCGGCCTTTCTTATCCGGGGCCAGGATATTTGGAGATTTCTTCTCGTGGGCTGTGTGCACGGAGCACACGGTCCTGGGTGTCCTGATACTACCTGTAGTTGTCTTAGGTCGTCTCCACGAGGCTCTCCAGATCTGTCCTCTTGCCTGTAGGATACAGTACATAATCCTGTGGTTTTGCAACTATTTTAGTTTATCTTTTAGGCCTGTTGCTCTCAGGTGACTTTCGCTTTTTCCATCTCTTCTGGTTTCATCTCGCCCCTTGTTGACTTGTCTTTCTGATGAGCACACACATGGGTCACACATATTTGGATTTTACCTTTTGCTCTCGCCAGCTCCTGCCAGTGTTCACGTGACCATACCTTTTTGCCACTTATCTGGACATTGGTCTTTTCCCACTTCTGTGGCCAGACTGCTATTCCGTTGGCCACCGCCCATGGCCAAGAGAAATTTTCTTTTGACTTTCCGCCAGTGAGCACCTTCAGCTGACACGTGGCTGTGAGTTCTGCTTGGGGCCCGTTTAGACTTGCCCGTGAATCGGAGGATCTGATTGTCCCTGGGCCTGAAAGCTAAAGTCCATGCGGTCTGTCCACTTAGAGCAGGGATGGGGGAAATCGTGTGGCCTGGCCCTGCCAAGGCCTCCCCGGAGAGAAGCCGTTCCAGCCATCCATTAGGGGTGAGTTAATGAAACGTTTGACCAAATACAGCAGGCTAATTTCTAAGTCGATAGTTTTGTATGGCTCGCAAATGATGTTATAAATATCCAAATCACCCTTGGCAGAAGGAAGGTTCCCCACCCCTGACTTACGATGTGCGAGGACCCATCTGTAAACCGGAAATTGGGCAGCATATCAGAGCAGGAGGGGCCCCATTTCTCTCGGGGTATGCATGGGCTCCACCCTCGGAAATATTTCTGGCAAGCCTCTCCACCTGCTTGCTGTATTTACTCCGTGAGGAAGCTGGGCTGTCCCTTGGCTGTGGCATCTCCATTGTATGGACCATGCCCATGTAAAGGCCACCTGGCTCAGACACTTTCCTGCCAGTTCCTGAGGACTAAGCTTAGACCGGGCCACACCCTGAGTAGCCAGTTATATAACAACTGGAGAATTTCCTGTTAATGGTTCTGCCATTTTCAGGGCTTCAAATAACAGCTAAACTAGTTTTTCTAAATTCGTGTGTTTGGCGGGGGCTCATGGAAGGCGTCTGGTCCAGAACCCCCTGGTTTAAGTAATTTATCTTGAGGACATTTTGTCCACAGAGCCCATGATCCGAAGTCGTTAGAACAGACGGAATCTATTCCTAACTGGTCTCCGGGCCATGAGTAGTTTTTGAAAATGACTGATGTAGCCCAGCCAGGCGTGGCTCAGTGGTTGAGTGTCAACCTAGGATCCAGGCGATCGGGGTTCGATTCCCGGTCAGGGCACATGCCCGGGTTGCGGGCTTGATCAGTGACTTTCTCATCATTGATGTTTCTCTCTCTCTCCCTCTCCTTTCCCCTCTCTAAGATCAATAAAGATATATTTTTTTAAAAAAAGAAAGAAAGAAAATGACTGATGTACTCCTTCAAGAAATTCAGTGCCTGTTGCTTTTCTGTCCATTCGAAATCAGAGGGTCTTCTTGCTACATCGTGAATAGGCCTAAGGATCAGACCCAAGCGTGGAATATGTTGTTTCCAGGATCTGAACATGCCTGTAAGATGTTGTGCTTCTGTCTTGTTACGAGGAGTTGTGTGTGTGTGTGTGTTTCAGTCCTCGAGGGCATTTTTTCCATTGCTTGAGAGAGAGACAGACAGAGAGAAACATTGATGGGAGAGAGACACATGGATGGGTTGCCTTCCCCACGCGCCCCAACTGGGGCCGGAGATCGAGCCTGCAACCGAGGTATGTGCCCTTGGCCGGAATTGAACCCGGTGCCCTTCAGTCCACAGGCCGATGCTCTAACCGCTGATCCAGACTGGCCAGGACGAACCTCTACTTCTTAATTGTTCGATTAATTTAGTGCTTTCTGTCTGTCATAATTGTTTAGCACCATGATGCTATCACCCACGCAGCAGGTCATTAGTGACTGGAATTGCGATGTGTGTGTGATGCCGGCGATGAGTGTGCGCGGTTACTGTGTGGTTACCGGGCCGTTCGGGTAACCTGGTGGCAACCTTTTAATCGAAATTGTGTTCCTCCCCAGGAGAAGGCTGTGGGTTGTCTACATGTCTCAGATACGGGGATAGCAAAGAACATATCAGACATATCAGTGGCTGCAAAATATTTTGAATTTCTCTTAGTTGTTCTATTAATAACCTCTTCTGCGTCGGGCAGTACTCCATCCACCTTAGGAAAAAGCTAAGGTTTCTGCGACCTACCATCCGTCTGTATTGTCCATTCGGGTCGAGCACTGGCCACACAGGGCCACTCTGTAAGTGAGACCTGCCTTTTTCTGTGACGCCGCCTTTCAGTCGTTCCTGGACTTGGTCTGCACGCCCTCCCTTTAAGGGCTATTGCCTTGTATATGTGGCTGTCGACGGTTTAGGTGAACCTATAGGCTTAATTTTTGCTTCAGCTCACTTTATTGAGATGGCTTAAGTTTTTCCAAGGCATCGGGCCTCCTAGGGTTTGGCGAGGCTGGCCATTCCCCGGCTGCTCTCTGCGTCCAGCGGCGTGTGTCCCCGCGGCCCTGCCCCGGCGGCTCCTGTCCTCTCCTTACCCCCTCCCTGCCCCCTGGGTCAGCATGGCTGGGCCCCGGCCCGACCCCACGCCGGCTGTGTTTCAGGAATCCTGTACGGCACCATGACCATGGAGCTGGGCGGCAGGGTGACCGTCGAATGCAAGAAGAACAACTTCCAAGCTGAGCTGGAGTTCAAGCTCAAGGTAGCCTGGGTGCGGCCGCTCCAACCACGCAGAGGGCCTGGAGGGCTGGGCTGGGCTGGGCTGCGGAGGAGTGAGGACTTGGGGATCCCTTCCTGCCCTCTCTGCCCGGAGATGGTTTCCTGACCAAGTGCACGTGGGGAGCAGCTCTTGGCACTCGTGGCCCAGCTGGGGCCCAGAGGGGCGGGGCTGCCTGCAGGCGACAGGGCGGAGCCAGGACAGGCCCCTGGCTGGGGCTGGCAGAGATGGCAGGGCCCCTGAATTCCTGAGCTTGGGCTGAGGCCGAGGCATAGGACTGGTAGGGCCTCTAGCTGGGGTCACATCCCAGCTAGGCTCCCATGCGGGGTTGGGGGGCGGTGAGAGCCTGCACCCCGTGAGGGTGCCCACTCCATGTCCCACAAGGATGCCCCTCTGGCAGGGGCCCCCTTCCCCCCCAGCTCACCCAGGGGTGCCAGGGTCTGTGGAGAGGCCGCCGTCCTCACCGGCACCCGTGTCCCCTCAGCCTTTCTTTGGGGGCAGCACAAACATCAACCAGATCTCGGGGAGCATCTCATCGGGAGAGGCGGTGCTGGCACATCTCTCGGGACACTGGGTAAGAGGCCACCCTCGGGTCCCCGGGGAGCCTGGATGGCCACAGGGCCACACCGCTGACCCTGCCTGGCTCTGCCGCAGGACAGGGAGGTGTTCATCAAGGAGGAGGGCCGAGGAGGCCCAGAGCCCTTCTGGAACCCGAGCGGGGAGGTTCGCGGGCAGAGGCTGAAGCGGCGCACAGTCCCGTTGGAGGAGCAGGGGGAGCTGGAGTCGGAGAGGTGAGGCCCCTGGCACCTGAGGGGTCCCGCTGGCCCCAGTCTGGTGCGGCCAGAAGGGTAGGGCTGCGGGGCTAGGAGCAAGGCCCCAGGATGTCCCTGGGAGGGAGGGGGGCCTCACAGTGGACCCTGTGGCATGTCCTGCGGGGAGGGCCTGCTGGAGGGAGAGGGGCCCGGGGAAGAGGGTCTGGGCATCCCTGCCAGCAGGTGACCAGCAGCCCAGGGATGGCCCTGCTGGCAGGAGGAGTGAGCTCAGCGGAGGAAAAGCATCTCAGGGTGAAGAAACGGCACCCCTCAGTGGCATTGTCAGGGCAGGAGCTACTTTTTCCTGGGTGGAGCCCTCAGGCCAGTGCCTGCGTCTTGTCACTAATACCAGGCGTTGCTGGTCTGCAGGAGAGAAGTACAGCTGTCGGTAGAAAGCATTTAGACACATCTAAAGCAACTTGGAATAATTTTGCTTCTATTGAATGGGACTTGTAAAAAAACAAACAAACTGTCCCAGGACATAGGTGCCCTGAGAGGCAGTGAGCTCCCTATCACTGGAGGCAATCAAGTGGAGGTTGCTGTAAGCCTCCCCGCGGGTGCCGAGGGGGCTGCCCAGGCCCCCCAGCTCTGACGGGTGCCTGCCCGCAGGCTCTGGCAGCAGGTCACCAAGGCCATCAGGGAGGGTGACCAGCACAAGGCCACGCAGGAGAAGCTTTTCCTGGAGGAGGCGCAGCGGCAGCGGGCCCGCGAGCGCCAGCAGAGCCTAGTGCCATGGACACCCCAGCTGTTCCACCTGGACCCCGCCACCCAGGAGTGGCGCTACCGATTTGAGAAGTGAGTGCTGGCAGGTGGTGGCCAAGGGACCCTACGATGGGCTGGACCACCAGATAGCCCCCAACCAGTCGGGGCCCGGGCCTGAGAGACATTAGGGTTCCTTCTCCCCTCGAACGAGTGATGGGGGCAGGGGGCAGCCCCTGCATACATTGTAGGGCACTCTCGGTGGGGGCGAGGG